CAAACCGAACCATCAACTTACCTTCTATTTTATGTGCATACCGAACCGCCAAAACCGGACTCACCCCTACAAATGACCGATGCAATAGCCTTTGCCCAGACACAAAAAAGCGCTTAATTACCCTTTGAGCATCCATTTTTAGATTAATTACATCGATTTGTTTTGCATTGTTCAAAAACTGATTCAAAATAAAGGTTAAACACTAATGCTAAAACTAATTTTATGTAGTAGTGATCAAATTTGAATGAAATTTAGAATATTTTTGTTTGTTATTTCAATATATGTTCAATAAAATGTTATGACATATTAATTTGTTTACTGTAATATACTTGAAAATCATTGAATTAAGTATGATGTGTAATTTATTTCCCTACATATATAATGTATTAAGGGTCCGTTACGTAGGGCTTATTTTTTCTACTTATTACTTATTTGTAAAAAACCATATCAGATAATATTAGATTCAATGCGATCATACCCAATCAGATCAAATCAGGAAAAAAATAATAAAAATAATAAAAATATTTTTTCAAGGATTAAATATTAATTACTATAAGATTAAATCACATTACTTTATTTAACGTTACACACACCTAAATATAATGTAAAATATTAAAATTTAAATATATTTATTATTATTATTATTATAATTGCTTAGCTTGTAAGAATGATCCGTGAAAGAAATATTAGGACTTAAAAAGTTAAATTTTTCATATTTTAAAAGAGCCGTTTTAAAATACTTTTTTGTAAAAAAACAGAAATTTTACTAAAGAATTATACAAAACTTAAATTTCAAAACCATAAATACTTTTATACTTAAAAAAGACTTATTTTTTAAACTTAAAAATATTTAATCTATATACACAAGGCTGAATTTAGGATAAAATTAGATATTGTCAATGATTTTCTTATTTTACTATTTTCTATGTATATATGAATTGTAATACTTTAAAATTATTAAATATCTTGTAACAATTATAAGTTTAATTTAAATCAATTTTAAACTCAATTACACTACACCAAATCAGATTTTATCAGATCTAATTAGATTAGATCATATTAGATTTAATCAAATTTTATCAGATTTAATCAGATCTGATCAGATCTAAACAGATCAGGTCAAAATTTCAAAAATTCAAATGACATTCAATCAGATGAGGCCCAAGGAAAATAACCTAAGTGAAGTTCGAATAATACCTAGTGTTATACGAAGTACATAAAGGTTAGATGATATTTGTGAATTGTGATGTTGAAACGTGTCCTCATACAAAAAAAATTTGGAGCATATAAAACTTTAGAGATGATATTGTGTGATTGGTCATATAAGTCACGTGTACTGAAATAGTTTAATTTATTTAATGAGATGTTTTTCACACCTTAACAATGCAAGACTTAATAAGACATTGAAAGGCTTAATAGCTCAAATAGTTCAATACCCCGGTGGTTTGTATTTTCAAAATTTATTTATAAAATCTACGCGATTTCAAAACATTGTGTACACACATCCTCTGATCATTTTCTGAAAATTGCCCGATCATTTTATAGCAAAGAGAGGTTATTGGTGTCTATTTTTCGAATTGCGAGGGAAAACATATTGAGCTCATTTTCTTTTTTCCTTCAATTTTTTGTTTTTTCCCTTCTTGTATCTCTTTTTTCGTCTCTTTGTTTCCTTTTTTAAAGGTTCTTTAATTTCTATTCTAAATTTTTATAACTATTGTTTTAAAATTTTAAAATTATTTGTGTTTGAAATAACAACTAAACAAAATGAAAAAGTTAACATAAAGTCATAAACTTTGATCGACTATTACAGAAATTACTTTTTACATTTGTTATTTTTTTGACCTTTTGCATCGGGCCATTACCGATATATGCAAAAGGTAGTGATGCAATTGATGCAAATACTTTCTGCATCCGTTGTTTAATAGATGCAAAAAGACCCCATGAGTGCATAATACTCCGTACGTGATTTGTTAAGCTCTTTTGTTTTCTAGGGTAAAAAGAAAAAGCCTTTTTACGAAATGAGTGTCTTCATGTTTGTGGTCATGCATATCACGAAATTTTCTCAGGTGAGAGGTTTAAGAGAATAAATGGAGACACCTAAAGGCTAAAGGGTCGGAGTAGTATATTTATAATATTTATTTTCCATCATAGATATTTTATATATAAACATTTTTAATTGAAAATCAAATTCGTAATTCGTAAATATATTATTAGTACGGAAAAAAGATGGTTCATTATGGAGTACTCTACAAGATATCGAATTTGCTAAAAACACTCAAACAAGTGGGAAAAAGAACTGAAGCAGCAGTGTCTTTTTCAATTCAGCGCTTTAAGGTTAAAAATATGAGCAATGCTATGGGTACACCAAAAGGTGTACCCCAAATGTACACCATCCCTTTTCCACCACAAATTTTTATTTGATTTTTATTTATTTATTTTTTTTAAATTTTTTTACCTTTTTTAATGGACAAGGAGGGGGTGGGGGACATATGGGGTACACCTTTGGTGTACCCCTAGCATTTTTTTAAAAATATTCTAATTTACCAATCCACTAGCCAGCTACGTATCTTACTAAAATGGAGCATGCTACATGTACCCCAAAATTTGTACTTCATTTGCACACCAAAAGTATGCACCAACATTTTGATGGTTCACACTCACACAAAGTATTGATGCGTTAACAAAACTTTACACTGACACAAAGTGTTGATACATTATGCATTAACAAAAATTAGCATTACACCAACACAAAATATTGGTGCATTCCTTCTGTGTACAAAATGGGATACAAATCCTTGGAGTACAAATAACTTTACCCTACTAAAATTGAGAAATGCTTGGTGAACACCACTTGGGGTACACCACATGTACACAAAGCTAATAAATAAACATACACAGATAATTAATATTTGTGCGTGAACAAACATTAAATATTTGTGTGTGCCTATTTTAGATATAGTGTTCATGTGGTGTACCAAGTGGTGTTCACCAAGCACTCCTCACTAAAATTGTAGGGTCGTATTCAGATTACGAGAGGTCACTAAATTTGTAATGTATACCCTACAAACCATTGTATGGTATTTCCCATATATTTAGTACGAAATACTCATTTCTAAATAAGTGAAAATCTAATTCTTGAGTAACTTAATATCTATTTTTCTAAAATTCAGTTATGTTCAAAAAGGAGTATTGAGTTACTCGAAGAGGAATATTTTCTTACTCAAAAATGAGTATTTAATTAATCGATAACGAATATTCATGCAGATGTATGTGGAAGAAACACTAAACACTAGAATGTATGATATAGGTACTCCACTAAATTTCTTTTCAATCACGTTTATATACTTATTTCTTTTCGTAAGATAGTATTTTTCTTTGCAAATTTAGGGAGTCTATATTTTGTAGTTAACTTTTTAATTTTATTTTTTGATATGATGTATAAAAGTAAGATATCATACGTGTAAATAGATATAATGAAATTGGTTAAGAGTTTTTTTTTGAAAGTGGTTAAGTAAGAGTTAGTAAAAGTAAAATAGATTTTGTAATGAAATATAAGAGTGTTCCATGGGAAAAGCGAAAAGTGAAAATGAAATTATTTCTCCCTCCGTCCATAAATAAAGTTCCCGGACCGAGTTATGATATTTGACTAAAGTCATTTTCAAATCATTTTATATGCAAATTAAAATGGTATAGAAATAAAAAATAAAAATTACATATTTAAAAATTACATAAAAATATCTACAAAAGAGTAAGTGATATTACTATATTATTTTATCAAATAGGACCCAAAAGTAGGCCTATAAAATAAATAAAATTTGACCTTGTGATAGTAAATGTAAACTTTATTATTGGACGGAGAAAGTAGGTTAAACAAAGAGATCGAGTATGTTAAAAGAGGGAGTATATAATCACACTTCGATCTGTATATTATTTCCTAATAAAAATTATTACACACTCCGTAACTAAAAACTAAATAAAGTTTTATTCAAAAATAGTGGTGATATAATTATACTCCGTATTATGGAGTGTACAATACCCGCCTATAGGTGAATGAAGTATTTTAAACTCCTACTCCCTCCGTCCCTAAATAAAGTTTCATTTTTGACTTTTTTAGGATTTAAGGGAGGGATATTTTGGTGTTGACTTTCAAAAAATATCCTTGATGTGATGTGTTAAAGTAAGATGTGATATGTAGATTATTAGTAAAAAGGTATGATGTGATAGGTAGGGTATGAAAAAGTAAGGGGTAAAAGGGGTTTTTTAAGGGAAAAAAGAAGTTTATTTAGGGACAAAGAAAAAATGAAAGAGGAACTTTATTTAGGAACGAAGGGAGTAGTATTTTTCCAAACTAGTTCTACTCTGCATTTTTTTAAAACAAAAGCACACTTTCGATCAACACCATGGGTATATCCTGAAACAAAGAAATCCTACTCTCTACGTCTGAGTATTTTTCCCCTTTTGACTTTTTCGGTTAAAATTAATAAATTCTGACTAAAAATTAAATAAAAGTGATATTAGATATTGATAAAAAAATAATTTTAATAGATTCGTTTTATAAAATATTTTCAAAATATTATTTTATCTAGTTAATATAAAATATACATTATATTTTTGTGAATTATAGGTCAAAGGTTGAAAATGGTTGACTATAAAAAGTCAAAACTGAGCAAATACTCAGGGACGGAGATAGTATATCACAATGGAAATGTAACAGTTCATGCAATATTAAATAGAAATATTTACACTAAATAGCACTAAAACTTAAGTCATTTCCTTAAATAACACTTAAACTGTTTTATTCCCTAAACAACACTTAATAATATTCAGAAGGAGGAATATTATCCAGTGATAATGAACATTTACTTGAGTAATGAGTAATGGATAATAACTAAAATTACTACATTGAGAAAAAAACACATATAATACTACGAGTATTTAGGAAAATTCATTATATTTATGTGCTATTTAAGTAAATTTTTTAATTAAATACGGAGTAGACCAAAACGCAAGGAGAAGTCAGGTGTGACTGTGTGAGAAATAGTATAAAAATAAATTAAACTAAAAGAAGCATTACATGAATGGAATTACCTTCTCTTCCTTTCAGGGCTTGTAAATTATAGAGATGAAGTTGATGAGAGCGTTTGCAGTTTGTTTTACTTCGAACAAATGGAAATGTAACCCTAATTAAAACACAAGGAAGATATGAGACAGAAACAGGCTTGTGTCAGTTGTGTGGTTCTTGATAGTTGATACTATAGAAAAACGCCCCCCACCCGCATAATATGTCTAGTTGTGTGTCCGACTGTCCGTACATGCTTTATCCTTCTTATTGAAATGCCTGTTTGGCAATCGCTTGAAGCCAAAGTTTAAATAAAAAAGAATTAAAAGAAAATAAGGTTTATTGACCTAAGATCCATAGTAGATCTTCATTTAAAATGTACTCGGGGTAGTATATAAACATTTGCTTACTATTCAAATGAAAATTTTACAATTTTTATTTTAAATTAAATAAATTAAAAAAAAATTGGGTGAAAAATTCCATGTATGTAGACTCTATAACCTTATGTTGATTTTTATTGAATCTAAAAACATTTTCTGCTTTGACTTTTTTTATCAAATACTGACACTTTTTTATTATAAATTGCGAGAAAAGTATCTTTCATTATAATATATTTGTTTGTGACTCTAGCATTTTCCTTCAATATAATTAGATTCGTCTTAGAATATAGTTTTGATATAATAATTTTTTTCATTTATTTAGTTATATTATGTTTAGTTTGTGGTCAAAGACTGTCACGGTTTGACTAAAAAAATCAAAACAAAAGATTGTTGGGGATAGACGAGAATTATAACGCGGATAAATCGAGAGTCGTGTCGAACTCTTTCAGATTGAATATTTTAGTAGTTCAATCCAAAATTCAATCGGATAAAACTCAACGTTATCAAGAACAAGTATGGATTTGTTGTGTTTGGTTTTCTAGTGAGATCATGGTTCCTTAGCCTGTGCAATGGCCAAAATGTTGTCGCAAAACAACAGGATATGGTCATTAATACTCGTAACCTCTCCAAGTTCAGTGATGAACTTCTTGATCCAAACAGCCTCCTTAGCTGCCTCGGCAGCACCTATGTACTCAACCTCTGTAGTCGAATAGGAGGTTGTGTCTTCCTTGAAGCCCTTCCAACTAAAAGCTCCTCCATTCAGGCAAAACAAATATCCTGCTTGTCATTTTGAGTCATCTTTGTTGGTTTGGAAGCTAGCATCAGTGTAACCGACCACCTTTAGCTCTTCCTCACCATCGTATACTAGGAATGCATCCTTAGCATTGCGAAGATACTTGATGATGTTCTGTACCGGTGTCTAGTGTACTTCTCCTAGATTTCCCTGGTATCTTCTGGTCACACTTAAAGCGAATGAGACATCAGGTCTAGTACATATCATGGCGTACATGATGGATCCAATCGCAGAGGCGTATGGAACTTTCGTCATGAGTTCCTTCTGCTCGGGAGTATAAGGACTCTGGTTCTTAGAATTGAAAGAGCTGTGTCAGGTGTCATAGAAAAAGATCATTTCTTTGAGTTATACATGCTAAATCGATCACGGAACTTACCTATATATGTACTTTGACTCAGACCTATTAACTTTCTTGATCTATCTCGGTAGACTCTTATGCCAAGGACATAACGCCTAACTAGCATCCCCTAAGTCTTTCATGGAGAAATTCTCGCTCAACCACGTCTTTACAGAAGTGAGAGCGGGAACATCGTTACCCATGAACAATATGTCATCGACATATAAGACTAGGAATACTATTACACTCCCAATGACCTTCTTGTGTATACAAGATTCCTCAGATTTCTTCTCGAAACCAAATTTGGTGATGGTTTCGTTGAAGCGTATGTACCAACTCCGAGATGCTTGTTTTCAATCCGTAGATTGAACGTTGCAGCTTACAAATTTTCCAGACTGACCATAAATTTCAAAACCGTCAGGCTGTGTCATGTAGACATCCTCTTTGAGGTTCCCGTTAAGGAAAGCAGTCTTGACGTCAATCTGCCAAATCTCGTAATCGTAATAGGTTGCAATCGCAAGCATTATCCGAATGGATTTCAGCATAACAACTGGAGAAAAGGTTTCATAATAGTGAATTCCATGGATTTGTTTATAACCTTTTGCTACCAATCGAGCTTTAAAGGTATGAAACTTCCCGTGTACGTCTGTCTTCTTTTTGAAGATCCACTTGCATCCAATGGGTTTTACCCCTTCGGACGCATCAACCAAGGTCAAGAATTGGTTTGTGTACATAGACTCCATTTCAAAATTCATGGCTTTGAGCCATAGATCAGATTTAGGGCCTGTAATTGCCTCAAGGTAGGTCTCTGGTTCGTCTTGATCTACCAACAAGACGTCACCTTCATCAGACATGAGAAATTTATATCTAACGGGAGGATTATGTATCCGGTCTAACCTATGTGGTATATCTTGAGTGGTTTGAGGTTTAATTGCTTAATCTGTTTGCTCAGGTTCCAACACTATCGGGAATTCTTTTTGTGGTTCTCAAATTTCTTCGATGTCTACCTTTCATTATTGCTCTCTTTTATTTTGTTCCGAGAAGACTTTCATAAACCTGTCCAAACCTTTGCCTAGTTAGAGAAATTAGCTAATTTCCTTCGTCCACTTCTCAAGACACACGACACTCGGAGAGAAAACTAACCCTTTACTGGGAAGGTTTACTACCCAAAAAACTACAATTATCAAATTAAATGGCGCCTAATAAGTCGGGTTTGGGTTAGTTCTTTTTATTCTTTTTTAGGCAATTTTAATATTTTTAGTGTTTAATTTTTAGTTTTTTAGCTTAGTTTTATTTTAATTCACATTTTTGCAATCTTTTAATTTTCTTTCTTAAATAGAAGCTTTTTGATCAATTTTTTACATTTTTTTATTATTTTTCCTAACCCAAGTTATTAGATATCTTAGTTTTTGGAGAAAAATGTAGCAAAAGACCAAAGCAGAGTCCAAGTTTTAAAGGAAGAGATCAAATTTGGGCCGGAGCCTAAATCCAACACTAAAAGAGATCAGCCCACTCCTCCATCTCAATTTTGGTCCAGGAACGAAAGAAAAAAAAGAGAGAAAAGAAATCATCGGCTCCTTCCGCGACTTTGTAACGGCGATCGAAGTAACGCGACCTCCAACGTCTCTCATCAATTTCGTGATAATCAATTGCCAACAGGAAGAAAGGCTTGTGCTATAAATTGGAGGCGAATAGCAACTCAAAGAGGGGGAAAACATGGGGGAACAACGACGAGGCAGGGAGCCGCAGCTCAAGCCGCGGCGGTGGTGGAATTCGGTGAACGGCCGGCAGACGCGCAGCAGCTCCAGCTCCTGTTGGCAACCTCCATCATAGCTCCAATTCTTCATTGATACAAATAGTTAATTAGAATATTTTAATTAATTATATTATTATTTAGTAATTACTTATTATTATTTATTGACAGTTTAGGGTTTTAGTATGGGCCCGAACCCATTAGGTCAATTAGGGTTATCTTCGTTCTTTATATATTGTAACCCTTCTTTATTATTATTCAATGAATCAATAATCAAGAACTCTCTTAATCTCTCGTCTCTCTTTTCTTGGAACCTGGAAACGCTCGAAGTTTTCCTTCTCTCTTTGCCTCTCCTTTCTTGGAGCCCGAAGACGCTCGAAGTTCTTCCCTATCCAATACGATATTCGTATCAATTGGTTCTTTCATTGATTTGAACACCACAATAAAACAAAAAAAACATAGTACAAGAGCTGATCATGAAAAAAAACTACGGCTGAAGCTCCTAGAAAGAAAATATGCAGAAGAACAAATTGGTGATCAAGAAAAGTCGTTCATCCCCAATTGCCGATCAAGAACTTCAAGAAAGCAAATTTTCTCCTTTGGCTTGCTTCACTCAATTGACTTTGCCCAATTATTTTTTCAATTATTGTTGGAATTGTACGCAGGAAGCCACTGCCATCAACACATAAAGGTATTTTTTTGTGGTAGTTTCTTTTAGCAATGGACTCAATGTTGGACATACTTCTTGATTTGTTAGAGAAGGTTCTTTATGAAGAAATTGAGTATGATGAAGAGGTGTGTTTGATTTTTTATCACGTGTATGAAATTATTATGAAGCTCAGGTCGATCCATAATTTTAAAGGTCAAATTGATTATGATGCGCTCGACGTAGAAATGTTTTGCTCGGTACAGGATTTGGTTCATGGACCTCCAATTGTGCCAAGCCAAATTCCTTTTGAGTTACAAATTTTCAGAGCACACATTATGGGTATTATACGGAAGGTGACGGGTGCACCTTCTCCACCAACGTTGCCCCCAAGATGTGATGGAACCAAACCCGTGCAGTGGTTAGCTACGGTATGTGAGTATTTCCAGTTTTATGAAGTCCCTTCAGTTGATCGTTTGAACCGTGTGACATCAATGTTAGAGGACTCTGCCTTGGCTTGGTTTAATTGGCGTATGCGTGGCGGCTTAATTGATGGTTGGGAGGATTTTGTTGAAAAGTTCAAGATTCGATTTGTTTCGTTACATGCTTTGGATTATATTTCTTTTGAGAAGACAACAGAAAAGGCTAGAGACACATTTGTCCACATGGTGGAAGATGTCACCACACTCCCCGACCCGACCATGGAGGACCTAGACGAGTTAAAAGAATCAAGTGCCAGGTCTCATATCAAAGAGGGCGATTATAACGGGTCTGGCATCATTGGCGATGATGGTGGTGCTCTTGATGAAGATTATAGTGCTAATATTTTGAGTGACGAGCCATTAAACAAATCAGATTCTACTCCTCGTGAATTATCTATATCACTAAATGCCTCAGTTGGGATGACAATTGCAGGGTATGAAGTTCTAGCAAGTATCGAGAAGGTGGCAGATGGATATAAGAAGCAAGTGGACAACCTCATTTCATTTGATGACACCATTAAATTGTTTGACCTTGTCGATGTGGTCAAGACGGAGCACTTAGTTTCACCGAAAGAAACTACATATGCTATGCGCCCCGTCTCCTTTTTCCACTACTTTTCTGCAAGAGCCAAGCTGGTTGAAGAATCAAAGAGTGGACTGCTCCTTTGGTTCAGCATTCTGTCTCTAGTCTTAAAGCACGAGTGGGATCCTCCACCTTGAGGACAAGGTTGATTTTAAGGGGGTGGGAATGATACAAATAGTTAATTAGAATATTTTAATTAGTTATATTATTATTTAGTAATTACTTATTATTATTTATTGATGGTTTAGGGTTTTAGTATGGGCCTGAACCCATTAGGTCAATTAGGGTTATCTTCGTTCTTTATATATTGTAACCCTTCGTTATTATTATTCAATGAATCAATAATCAAAAACTCTCTTAATCTCTCGTCTCTCTTTTCTTGGAGCCCGGAAACGCTCGAAGTTTTCCTTCTCTCTTTGCCTCCCCTTTCTTGGAGCCCGAAGACGCTCGAAGTTCTTCCCTATCCGATACGATATTCGTATCATTCATTTTCATCTTCTTCTCCAATTGGTAACCTATATTTGTCAATTATTATTTTTCTTTTGTAAGAGCTTGTTTATTATTCAATTTCAATTTTGTTCAATTTTGGTTGGATTGTATAATTCAATTTCATGAGTAGGTTGGTATGTGGAACTCGGTTTTTGTTGAAGCTATTTTAGCACCATAAGGTAGTTAAATGAACTCCGGATTCATACGTGATTCTTTGTGTGCTTTTGTGTTCGTTGATTTTAAGGATTTTGGACTTCTTAGCCCCATAAGTTGATTCATTATTCTTAAAATTCGTTATTAAGTGATTGTGTATGTTTTCATGTGTTTGTTTGTTATTTTCATTGAGTTGAGGTTGTTTAAGCTAAAAAATAATTCTCAATTTAATGAAAATATGTTGTGTTCATCTATGTGAATAGAAAAAACGTCATTGGTTTGAGAAGTTCATGGAAATCTGTGAAATGTGCTCATCATTAGGAGAAAAAGTTTTTTAAAATGCATAAGGTATTGGCGGTTTCTGAATAGATTATGTATGGGAGTTGAATGAAAAAATATTCGCTCTTTTATAAACTTTTTCTATAGTGAAAGTATGTTTTCATGCTTGAATAGAGAGTTGGGGTTCTAAGGTATATTTCAAAACGGGCCTTTGAATTGCATGACTCAAGGCCGTGTGGAGAGTTGACAATCCTCTATGTCGTGGTTAAGGAAATGAATCGACTCGGCCTTTGATTGATTTTTTCTATTCTTAAGTGCGTAAGTTACGTAATATATTGTTTACGTGCCTATTATAGGTGTAATGTTCGACTTGTGTTTGTTCTCTTTTTCATTTTGTTTCGGGTTCTTGGCGGTGTTTCTTGGGTTACATTAGTTGGAGAAATTGATTATCCTTTGAGCTTGTTTTTCCCCATTTTATCAAAAAAAACAAAAAAATAAGTAAAATATAAAAACAAAAAATATTTACTTTTTATTCAACCCCCCCTTGTTATATTGTTTTAGTTTATAATATAAGTTTTTTTACTAAGTTATATTATAAGTCTTTGTTTATAAGTTATAAATATAAGTTTTTATACTTTTATATACTTAGGTATGTGTTTTGTTTTTATAAGTTTTATAAGTGTTCTAATATGTGTAGTAGTTAGTTTGTTATGTTTAGTGACAATGTGTGTGCATGCTAATTTGATTTCAAAAGTACAAACTTTCTCCGTGGGATCGACCCTTACTTGCCGTAGCTATAGTTTTTGTTTGATTATATCTTGGAAGATAGTTAAGGATATTTATAAATTTTTAATTTGTTTTGGACCTCACGACAAGTCTTCAACAAATTTTGGTGCCGTTGCCGGAGAAAGTTTTGTATGAAATTACATTAGTATGCAATTGTATTCTTTGTTTTTTGTTATTTAGTGAGCATGTCGTAGTAGCCTCTTTTCTTAGTTCTAAACTTTTACATGCCTATTCATAGAATTGGGGTTTTGTGTGCTAGAAGTAACTAAAGTCAGCCTGTTTTAATGTCTTGAATGCTGAATTCGTACTCCATTTTGCTATTTTTGTGAGACTTTTGACCAATTTTTCATAAAAAATTGCATTTTGAAATTACTATTCATTACTTTTACTTGCTGATTTTTGTTTTTATACTTGTTGCATTTGAATGACATAAGTGCTGAGTTGTTTCACTTTTGATGTATGCAACACGTATATACTCATTTTTATAAGCAATGAATCATTTGAATGGTGTTCTTGTTTAATTTCATAAGCTATGCTTGCTGATTTTCTAAAAAAATCTGCACTTTTTTACTTAGCATATATGCTGATTTTTGTCCCTTGGAGTGCTCCTTTGCTTCAAATATGAACTATAATTTTGATGTTTTAGGGGCTGAATTTTTGATAAAAATGGATCTAAAGTGCTGTTTTTTTAAAAAAATCTACATTCTTTTTTTGTGCAAACTGATTTTTTATGTTCCAAAAATGCTTATATGCTAAATTTTGAATTCTAATTGTTTAAAACTTGCATATGAACTAATTCGAAAGCACATAGCATGAGTTTACATTCATATTTTGATCAATACACGCTGAATTATGTACTAGAAGGTCTGAAGGATCAAGAAAATATGATTTTTCAAATCTGCTTTTGCTTCATATGTTGCATTCTTGAATCTGATTTTTGGTTCCTAATAGAGCATCTAGTGATATTCTTGGTGTAGAAACTATCATCCAAAGTTGAAAACAGAGAGCATATATTGTTTTTACTCTTTATTTGTTTTAAAGAAACACATGTTCTTATTTTACTACTTCATGCCTTAAGTGAATATATGTTTGCTAGTAGTAATCTGTGTCTAGCCAAAGACGTTAAATCGGGCGGCTTATGGGAGACAACCCATTTACTTTTTTAAACATTTTTATTTATTTATTTATTTTTATATAAGATCTTTTTATTTTCATACTTCTAGTCATAGTTGTACTTTTTTTCCTTCTATTTTTTTAACTTGACCGACTTACGTTTATATCATTTTTTAATTTTTCTTTGAATCCTTTATGCTTACTTCTAACTTTAACTTGTTGTTGTACTTAATTTCTTTTCTTGTGGTGGTTAATTTGATTTTTTTCTTTCTTTTAATTACCAATTTACTTTTATTGTATTTTTTTCCCTTCCATATTGATGTAATATTACTTGTTGTAATTATAGGAATATATTTTTTCTCTCTCTTTCATTTAGTTTTTTTTGAAGTATAAAATCAAAACAAACAAAAAGTTATCTTGATGAGCTTAATTGTTTATTTTCACTTTACCTATGCTTCTAACCATCTACTTTGAGAGCTTTTTGCAAGATTTGTTAAGTCATAGGTTGGACCATCTCAGTTTGGAGTAAAATTGTGCACAGAAATGTTGCAAAATTTTTTTTGAAAGAGCAATTCTTGGTGCCCGAGTGTTGATATACTATCAAATTTTAAGTTTTTTAAGTCTTGGGTGTTTATATTTGATCTTTTATAGGCTGAAAATCTAAAAAATCTGCACTTTTAAAGCTATTTTTTGGGCACTAATGGAAAAAATATGCACTTCTCAATTAGATTTTTGGGCTATAAATTGGAAATATGCACTTTGTAAGTTGTTTTTTTTAGTGCAGAATGAAAAAATCTACACTTTTCACGGCTTATATGTGCTAATTTAGAAAAAATCTACTCCCTCCGTTTTCAAAAACTCTTCCTCTTTCATTTTTTTTACTTCCAACAAAACACTTCCATTTTCTTTTAAAAAACCACTTTTACCCTTACTTTTTCATACCCTACCTATCACATCATACTTTTTCTCTAATACTTAATCCATCACATCAAGGGCAAAATTGGAAGTCAACTACAATTTAACACTTCCTCATTTTTACACAAATTCAAAATAGGAACACTTTTAAAAAACGGTGGGAGTACATTCTTTTAAATCTGATTTTTTGTTCTTCAACGCTGAAATACTTGTTCTTAGCCTTCCTTTTGCTGATTTTTAGGTCCATGGTGGGAGTGATAAATTGATGCCGCGTATACGTTTTCAGTTGCATTCCCGTTTCCCGTTCTCTCCTCGCTATGTCTGTGCTTACTTAATATTGTCATATCATATAGATGCATTGAGGACTATGCATAATTTAAGTGTGGGGGGAGGTTCTCATGTTTATTCTGTTGTTCGGGAAAGTATATTTTTGGGCAATTTTTTTTCAAAATATGTTTTGGGTCCAAATATTTTGTTATTCTTAGTTGCGTATCTTCTTATTTAGGGCATTGTTTTAAAATTGACCCATAAACCTCATTTTTTTTCTTTGAGCTTTGTTCTGAAAGATGACAAATGTTACTTTGTGAACTCGCCTTGATTCTTATGCCCATTTTCTTGGTAAAATGACCTTAACAAGTTTGAAATCCTTCTAGGTATCCTTAGTATTTTGTTTTCAAGAACTGGTCATCCACATATTATCTAGATGCTATCTTAATCACTTTTGCTTGATTATTTAAAATTGTGAAAAAAGAACCGGTTTTAGGAATCTTTTATTTTTAGAAAATTGTTCATTTTAGGCTTATTTTTCAAATTTTGCTACTGTTGCCATTGAGCCTTTCCGAACTATAGGATACCCTTAGGAAACTTTTTTGTGGCAACTTTAGAGCATTTTTCTTAGAACCCAAATAATCCATAATTTAGTTCTCTTTATAGGATTTGTAACTCACTTTGTTTTTTTAAAAAGTTTTGGGCATAAAGTCTTAAGAGTGGGTGTGTAAGGTGCATTTTGTTATTCTTGATGATGATGATTGAAATTGAAATGATTTCTTTTTGGTCTTTTGAATGAGGACGTTCAAGTCTTAAGTATGGGGGTATTTGATAAGTCGGGTTTGGATTAGTTCTTTTTATTCTTTTTTAGGCATTTTTGAATATTATTGGTGTTTAATTTTTAGTTTTTTAGCTTAGTTTTATTTTAATTCCCATTTTTACAATCTTTTAATTTTCTTTCTTAAATAGAAACTTTTTGATCATTTTTTACATTTTTTTATTATTTTTCCTAACCCAAGTTATCAGATATCTTATTTTTTTAGAAAAAATGTAGCAAAAGACCAAAGCGGAGTCCATGTTTTAAAGGAAGAGATCAAATTTGGGCCGGAGCTCAAATCCAACACTAAAAGAGATCAGCCCAC